AAAAAAATTTATAATTTAAAAATGGAATTTTCATACTTTTAAGATTGGAACATAAATAATAAAAGTATTGATGAGAAAAACTTACCTCTTTGGGCAAAAGGGAAATAAAATCTCTTTGAAATTGAGGTTCAATAACTTGCATAATATGACGAACTTGAGATGGATTGCATAATTCGATAAGCTGATCCAAACCCAAGAGCCTTTCAGCATTAGTCCATTTTTGGAATTGAACCAACCAGTCGTGTAATTCAGGTGGAGGGTTATCTTTGGTTGGAATAATGCATCTAGTTTTAGTTTTTTCTTTCCCAGAGCTGGATACTCCTTCAGTCTTACTCTCTGCATTAATTTTTTTACATAAAGTAGATGAATCAGAATCATCTGGTTTATTGGTTGAATTATCATATTTTCTTTTTCTCTGTACAAAAGGCTTTGAACAAGTTGATTTTTGAGCTAACACTGATGGCTTCGGTTCATCATCAACTAATAATGATGAAGAATCACTCCAAGATTCTTCCCCTTCACTATTTTGATCACCATCACCTTCACGTACTCCAGAATCAATTTCATCACCGTCACTGTTTCTTTTATCTTCGCTTACGTCCTCATCATTATTTAAGTTTTTGGACGAATCTGTTTCCGTTATTGATTTTGAAGAACATGGTAAAGCCATTTCCTCCATTAAAAAAATTTTGAAGTTTTAACAAACGGAATTCGCCCCAGAATTATGTACTACAAAAATATTTTTTCCTTTCCACCGAAATTAATTATAATTAAATTTTTATAAAACATTTTTAAAAAATTTATTTTTTTAATTTTTGACCGAATCAAAAAAATAAAATAAAATAAAATAAAATAAAAACTTAATTATAATAATAAATTGTTTATTTTTCTGGTTTTGGTATTTAGAAACTTCACTGGACCTTTGAGCACATTCTATTTATTAAACACACCCGAAGTATTTAAATATTTTATGTTAAGCTGAACGATTAGCTTATTAAAATCAAATATTATTGAAAAATAAATCATTGTCTTTTATAATTTAAAATCTATTATAATAAACAACTAAACTAATTAAGAACGTAAAAATGTGTTCTTAACAAGACGAAACATTTCTTTAAAAAACAAGGAGGCAGCCATTATTTAATTAACGAAAGCGCGTTCAGAAATTACCTACCATTATTTTATCTTTATTTGCCGCCTCAAGAAACTCTGCTTTTGTTATTATTTCCAATACTCAGCTGGTTTATTTTCCCGCCTTTTTGTAACGGCTTAAACGTTTACATATTCGTGTGCACATTCTTGTTTTTCAATAAACTCTTATAAATAACGGTTAATTATATAATAAATTTATATAAATCAAAGGAAAAAGGTATTTTTCAATCAATAACAATCAATTATTTAAACTTAACGTAAATATATATTAATTTCCTTCTTTTTTTTAATACAATAAGGTTACAAAGCTTTCAAAAAAAATTTTTCATCTATATTTTTTACTTCTGAATATTTAATGTCTTAAAAGTATTTTTGTTCTTTTTTTTTTTTTATACAAAAACGTAAATAATATTTTATATAAATTGATTTTAACTTAATTTAACAATTGATGGTAAAACAATATCTTATTGATAAAATTCTTATTAAGGCAAGATGTTTTATTTTTTATTTATTTATTTATTTAATAATGTTGATAAACTTTATAAAATATTTACAATTTTTTATTTAATTTAAAGCCAACTAAAATAATTTCAATTTATTTAAATTTTTTTTTTAAAATTCAACTCTTATTAATTAATAATTTTTTTTTTACATTTTTTGACATAAAGATAAACATTTTTGTTTGAATTTTAATGTAAATTTTTTTTTTTTTGGTTAGAAAATTTAAAAATATATATATTTATTTATTTATTTATATGTTTGTAGTAAATTAAATAATATTTCAAAAAATTTTGTATATTTACATTTATATATATATATATATATATATATTTGATCTTAATTAATTCATTACGTTTTTTTTTTTTTTTTAAAAGATTTACAGTTGACTTAAATAAAATTACGTTATCATATGTTTTATTTTTTAGAAATTGAGTTAATTAAATTTTTTAAATAATTCCCTGAAAAGGTTTTTTTCATGTAAAACCAAGAGTTTGAATTAATAAGAAATAATTAAAATCTACAATATAAATTGTTGTCAATAAGCAATTACGTGTTGATAAAAACTTGAGGTAATAATAACTCATTAGAATATTTTAATTCTAAACTATTTAATAACAATTTTCATTTATTTATGTTTTTTTTTTTTTTTTTTTTTTCCAATCAATCTTTTACTTTAATTAAAATGAACGTCACCACTAAATTTAACCGTACCACAAAATCTAAAAAAATTTCAATTTTTAAACAACTCAATGGCAAAACTTTGGCCAACAATCCTCCTACTTTAAATATAATTTTCAATTAACTACTTATAAATAAACTATAAATTTTAATAACAAAACAAAACAAAAAAAATTAACAATTGATTTTTTTTTTTTATTATTAAAATATACATTATAATAAGAAATTATTACTTTATCCAAAATTATTAACAAAAATAACGTTTTTTTTTTTTTTTTTTTCTCGTGTTTAGTGTGAAATTTTTAGGCAGGTTGTAATCGTAATCAATTAAGAAGAAAAAAAAATTTAAAACATTGTTGCAATAATGTCTCTAATAGCACAATAAGTTCCAACAACGAGACCGAGAACTCCACAAATAATTAATAAAATATCTTTAATTAAAATCCATTTGAAAGGACCGAGTTTATCTGGCCAATAAACGCACATTTCTATTATTGCTGGAAAAGCAATTCCTAAAGCAGAAAGGCATAATGCTCCAAATAACGAAATGAAAAGTTCCAAGTTTGGAATGGCAACTGCTAATAAAACTATTTGAAAAAAAAAAAAATACAAACAAACGTTAATCGTAAGTTATTTAAAAAAAAAAAAAAAAACTTTGATATTAAACATATTGTTTCAATTGTATTATTAATAATTGACTTCACAGAAAAATTTTTTTTTTCTTTACTACATGCCAACTGTCCATCAAGAACATTTAACAAAAAGGTATTTCTTTGTGATAAAATAGATTTTTAATTTATTTCCCCCCCACTACTCAATTACAAATAACTTTATATATTTTAGTTTATTCAAGGACACAATTATTAACTTACACGTCAATATTACTAAAGTAGTTCTTAATAAATATTCGTATAGTAAACTGTGATTGCTTTTTTCACATTTATCTTTTAAATAAGTGAACCAAATTATTTCAACAGGAACGTATGATTGCAATGCATAAGTTATGAATATTGCAATGGCAAAAAGAATTTGTACTGACTGGGATAATCTGTAAAAAAATTTAAAATTATGAGAATCAAATGTAAAAAAAATATTAATTTTTGCCAATTAAAAAAATTAAATTGGCAAAAAATCACTTATATTGTATTTTTTTGTTTTAGTTTTACTTACATTTCCTGTTGCGGTAAATTCAAAGTAACGGATCCTGCAGATTCACTACCGTATTTGATGTAACCGAAAAAACCGACCAAAACGTATAGGATAACTATGACAAACATTCCACGATTTAAAACGCCAAAATAACCGCCGAATGATTTTGGCGTTTCCATATTATTTTCAAGTGCAATTATCTGAAATTTAATTTTAATTAATAATTGTCCAATGATTAATTTTTTCCGTTTGTAAATAGGATACTCACAACTCCGACAGCTTCTAAAGCAAACAATGTCGTACCGACGTACAATGGATAACCTTTTAAAGTTCCCACGTATTCGACCGTGTCGATCGATGGCAATTGATCAAATATATAATATAAAACAATACCTAAGCCTACGAATGTAATAACATTGGCTAATGTCGATAGGGGAGCAAGTCGTTTAAGGTTTCGTATGTAGTTAATAAGTATCAAAGGAAGTAGTAAAATAAGCATGTAAAGTCTCACATCGAACGGTTTGATGTAATAATCGGCGACGGATTTGATATTCGTTGCAACGAACACGATATAAACGCAACAAATACCCAATTGATACACGATCATAAAAACATCCACAATAATCCTAGAGAGGGTAAGAAATAATAATAATAATTATTTTTATTTACAAAATACGACGCACATTATTTAAAAAAAAAATTTTTTTTTTTTTTTTAGTCACTCACGCAGAATATTTAGCGAAACACCGAAGCATGTTTGGTCCCATTTCAAGTCCTTTTTCCATTGAAGCAGGATATGATAAAATTGGAACTCTGAGTTTTTTACACAGTTCATATTGTGCCCGTACCAATATATGTAAGCAATACGTACATAACATTCCTATTAATATTGTTGATATTGTTCCTAAAATTAATCCTGAATTATAAAATGCATTTGGCATTGCCAATATCCCTGTACCGAGTGAACCTTTTAATAAATGAACCAAAGTTTCCCAATTACTAGAAAATTAAAAAAAAAAAAATAATAATAATAAATTTTTTTAAATCGATTACAGAGTAATTGGAGAAAGGATAATTAAAATATTTTCAATACGGAATGTAAATTTAAAATTCTGAGGGGCCTTTATATACCTACGTTGTAGGTGTTGGCCTGTTTCGATGTAAATGTGGATCGTATGGTTCTTTCGATGGGGATCCCTGCGATGGTGAACTATCACCATTTCCAACCATTTGAAGTTGTACGTCATTACCCGGTGCTGCCGTTACTTCGTAATTTCTTTTCGTCATTTTTTAAATATTCTTTAAAAAAAAAAAATTTTAAGCCATCACGTGATTTTTGCCTTTATTCGAAGGGGTTAAATATATATTTAAAAAGGTTATTTATTATTTTTACTTTGACGTTTTCATTATTTTTAACATTTGTCAAAAAAAAAAAAAAAAAATAATGACAAGGATAAATTTGTTAAAACCTAATTTGAGATTTTGCCAAATCTTACATACGAAGACACACAACTGCAAATAATGATAATAATAATATATTCACACGTTTAATTTTTTTTTTTTTAAAGATTTATTAGATTATGATTTTGCACTTTTCCCAAAAATTCAAATTTAATACTATGCATTTATGAATTTTGCAATTTTAAAAATATAATTAAAAACAAAAGTAACAACAACAACAACAACAACAACAATAATAATAATAATTGTTGTAGGTTTAATAATTTAGTAGAGGAAAGGATAGGATAGAAATTATCAATACGAATACGTGTGTCGTAATTGAAATGAAAAATTGAACGTTTATATTAAATCGAAATGGTAGTAAATATGGAATTTTGCATTTAAAAAAAAAAAAAAAGAAATATTTCATTCGTTTTTTTTTTTTTTTACATTGATGAAAACATTTACAGATGATTAAAAATAATACGATGTAATAAATCTTTTTAAAAAAAAAAACAAAACATTTGACAATATAACGTAAAATATATTAAATGGTACGTAAAAAAAAAAAAAAAATGGATGGAAAAAAATGTTTTTTTTTTTAGTTTTAAACGTACGTAAATTTTGATTTTATATCATGTAAATAATTAAATAAAATGCAAATTGAAATAGAATTTTTGTTGTTGTTGTCGTCATCTTTGATACATTTTAAACGTTAGAATGATATTTAAACGGCGGGAAAATCTGTTGTTTTAAATTGCTTTGCAAGGTCCCATTAAGTTATATCCTGTTATTATAACTTTATTTTTTATTTTTATTGTTTTTTTTTTTTTTTTTTTATTAACAAAATTAAATTAATCATTCTCTTAAAAAGTTAAATTCAAAACGTTTCATCGCAATTTAATAATATTTGAAATTTTTTTTTTTTAAATGAAAATCGTTTGATAACAAAATGCCAGCCATTTTTTTTCAATTTAATAATTCCTCATGAAATGTGATAATTTCAATCGATCACATAATTATTATTTATTTAATGGATTAAAATTATTGAAAAGTTATCCACCCACACACTCACACACACATAGAATACATAAATAAATAAATAAATTCAGTACAAAACGAAAATTTTCTTCTTCTATCAATCATTTTCTTATTAATGACAATTAAAAAAAAATTTTCATGAGGGTGTTTTTAATTATGGCTTTTTTTTTCTTAAAAAATTTACTGTTGAAATTAATATGACCTAATTTTTAAAAGTAATACATAGATTTTGATAAATTATAAGAGTGGAAAGAAGTCAAACCGTGATTAATCAAAGTTGAATATTGTTAAATAAAAAAAAAAATTTTTTTTTTTTGAGCTTTTTTTTCAATTAAGTTATAATTGTTGTCAAGGTTGTCTGATATAACATAAGCACAGCACAATAATTTTATTTTTTTTTTGTCATGGCTAAAAACAAAAGCAGAAAAAAAAAGGTTTTTATTAAAAAATTCTTTCATCCATCTATCTATCTATTGTTTTAATAAATACAATAAATCTGTCATTTTGAATACAAGAATTACTTTTGTAAAAAATTATTATTAAAATTAATTTTTATTAATTATTTATCCATCATGAAAATTTTTTTGAAATTGTAAACATTTAAAAATATTATTGAACAACATAAAGTTTGATTTTTGTTTTCTTAACAATTCTAAATCCAAAAAAAAATTATTAGAAAAAGTGTGCAATCAATCAAAAAAATTATTTCAAATAAATTTTTATGATTTAAAAAGTTTAAATAAATTCATTTAAAGTAGAAAAAATTTGTTAAATTTCAAATAAATCACTTTAAATTTTTTTTTTTTTGTTATTATTAATTTATTAAAAGACAGACAATTTTTTTTTTTTATAGGTCAAAATGAGTTTAGATAGATGAAAAATTGGAAAGATAATATTTTGGCTAAAAATCAATGAAAAAAAAAACAAAAAAAGGTTTCAAAAAAAAAGAAAATTAAAAAACTAATGACCTGATTTTTCATTAAGAGTCTTTTGTATACATGACATAACTATAAACAAATTTTAATAAATATATACACAAACAAATAACATCATCTCACATTAATAATAATAATAAAACAAATGAGTTTTGTTGTTTAAATATTCCAAATGACCATTAGATGAAAATAAAACTTTTGATACAGTCAAACAAATAAAAAAAAATTCAATTTCAATAAAATTTTCTCCTAAATACAAACCAATATTGAAATCATATTGTTTTAATAATATTTACTCATGAGGAGAAAAAAAAAAAAAAATAGATAACCTATTTTTAAAACAACAAGAAAAAAAAATCAATGATTAAACTAATAAAATTAAAAATTTCATAACGTTTTGTTTGCTTTTTTTTTTTATAGAAAAATAATAATTAACTGACAGGTTAAAATTAATACATGAAAAAATGAAATAATTGAAATTAAAAAAGTCAATAACGGTTATATAAAGAAAAAAAAAAAATTTTTTTTTTATCTCACCATGTTGTAATTACATATTAACTGATGTTATTCATTTTTTTTTTTTTTTACTCTTACAACCATAATCTTGTCGAGATGTTAATTGTTTTTCACAATGTTTTAATATTTTATTTGTTGTCCTAATTTATTTATATAGATTAATTAATATCACACAACAGAAAAATACATTAATTAAAAAAAAAACCACAAGTAATTTTTTTTTTTTTTTTAACCCGCGTCATTGTAATTAATTTCATGTTTATAATTATAACGAAATACCGATCGAGTTAAAAACTTATTTTCATTTCGAAGAAAGTTTTAAAATTAACATTTTTCATAAATAAAACACATTAGATGGAAAAGAACAAATAATAAAAGCACAAAAATTAAAAACGTAACGTTTCTATCGAATAGTTCAAAAATTATAAGTACAAACAAGGGGTAACGAGTTTGCGACAAAATTTTTGACATACGTCGACAAATTACCCTCCCCTTTACAAAATTATAAAAAAAAAAAAAGTGAAAAAGCGGTTAATTAAGTGTCATGTCTGTGTTAATAAGTAAAAACGTTTTGATCGTTTTTTTAATTAATTATTATCGTTATGAGGTAAGTAAATACATAAAATTAAATTATTTGTACGAATACATAAAATTAAAATAAATATTATTTAATTAATTGCTTTTTTTTTCTGGAAATTTCGATTGTAGTATTTCACTGACGCGGACTTCATTACTATATGCAGAAATTATAATTATTTTCGTTCAAACTCAAATGAGTTAAACCTCGTTTTTTTTA